GGGGGGGGGATTGTTTGCAGAGCAGAGGCCCAGTATACTACTTTTATTCAATATGGATTTTTATCTACAGTATATCCAGTGAAGTGGAAAATGGTGAGTTCCACCTGGGATGGAAATACCACAATACACTTATAGAAAATGTATTTTCATCTCATGATATCTCATCACCTTCTATGAAGGTGGGGGGTGATTTAAAAAAAAGAGGATAGTTTTTTGTTTTTTTTCATGTTGTTCCATCCCTCTTCTTTTCCATCATTTTAGTTGTGGTAACGAAGTATTGATTTAAATACCTTTTTTCCCCTCACAGAAAGAAAAGGGAGGGAGAGCCCTGTAGTATTTCACTTGCAGACATTAGGTTTTGATTTTTTTTAGGTGTTGCATTTTTTCCAAATAATTTTTGATGTGATGTATTAACATACTTTTTCAAAATTTTTGCTGTGATAATGGTTGCAGGGAAATTAGAGAAACTGAGGGTTATATTTCCTGAAAATAGTCAAAAATCAGAAGCGTTCCATGAAATTTAGGCATTTTGGAAAATACTTTGGAACCAATGAGAAAGGGTAAATTAAAGGAGAACTATGGAGGTGAGCGCTTTTCACTCACCTCATAGTTCTAGCCAACCTGTGACAATGAGACTGTCACAGGTCGGCTCAGTAGATCGGGAGGTGAGCGAACACATACCGCCGTTCGCTCACCTCTCGATCCTGTCACGGCTCTCTGCCGTGACAGGGGAGGGGCTGGATACCCCCTCCCCGCTCCGATCCGCCAGCGCTGTCTGGCGGAACGGACGGGGGAGGGGTGCAGGTACAGCTGATCTGCCTCTAGATAGGCAGAGTCAGCTGTCAGTCACGCTGCTGGGCGGATCTCGACATCGATGTCGGGATCCGCTCCGGCGTCTCAGTATACCGCGAGCTGTAGCTAGCGGTATACTGAGCTTAGGGTAACGGGAGGATGCTAGTTTGTGTCCTCCCGTTACCCTTAGGAGAACTATGGGGAAAAGCCCTGACCCCATAGTTCTCCTTTAAGGTGGTTTTTAGGGGTGTGATAGGCTTTATGTGGCTCCTGAGGGGAAGAGAAGCCTTTTACTTACCATGTGCCTATTCATGTCCAAAAAATGGCCCTTCAATAGTCTTATTATTTTACTTTTTTTTCCCACACAAGGAAGTGTGGGAAAAAAAAGTAAAATAATTTAAAGTGACAGTACACAAGAAATTTGAAAAAATACTCAATTACGAAAAAAACTAAATTAAATGAACTAAACCTATAATATACTTCCTCTTCTTCCGCCCGCCCCCCCCCTGTCCTCCTTCCCCGATATCAGACCCTCGTCCTCCTTTCCGGATATCAGATCCTCGTCCTCCTTCTCCGATATCAGACCCTCGTCCTCCTTCCCCGATATCAGACCCTCGTCCTCCTTCCCGGATATCAGATCCTCGTCCTCCTTCCCCGATGTCGTCCTTGTGATTGGAACCCCCAAAGATGATGGAGCTCCGAATAACTATTATCTCCGTTCCCCTCCTCCCCCCCCCCCCCCCCCCCCCAAAAAAAACCCCCCAAAAAAAACCCACACCCTTTAAATAAAAGAAACAAAAACATTTTGCCTCACGAAATTGAGAGTTTCGTTCTCAGCAAAGTAACTTTACCACAAAATCACTCCACCCGTCTCTAATTTATTCGGTTTACATTTTAAGGGTTACTCTGCGATAGAGGTTACTTTGAGAGTAACTGTTGGAAATAAGCTTTAGGGAAGTGAAACAATAGTATTTCGGGGGTAAAATGATGCGTGCCAAATTTCTATGGTTCAAAATTCTCTCAGTGTATGGCCAGCTTCAGGCTCAAGGGGGAGGGGACAACCACTAAAAAGTCCATGCAGGCACTTGTGTGACTCGGGGAACAAACTGTTTTATTAGTCTGTCATGCAACAAGCATATTCCTATCAAAGTGCAGGGTGACGTCCTGTACTAAAGGTGACACACCCTCTTAGAGGTAAAAGTGTAATGTCAGACAGTCCCTATAGCTGCCATAGGGAAGTATTTTAAACAAAATATTTAAGTTTAAAATTTGCAGATACTGGGGACTATGGGTCAGGTTTGGTACTGGTATCTTGGTGCTACTAAAACTGGGAGTATTTAGTGCCAGTCTTGGAACAAGATAAACGTAATGTTGGAGTTAAGGTTAGAGAGATGTATAGTTGAGGCTTATGTTGAATTCCAGGCAGATATAAAAGACACAAACAATGCAGCTCTGTAATCATTAATACACCAATAAATATATTTTTTTATTGCAAGCAGTGTTAGTGCCTAAATGTGACCTGGTATCAGCAGTCTCAGCCTCCTGCGGTGTTTGTACAGTAGAGCTGAAGTGTAAGAGGAAGAAGCAGCACAATGAGCCAGTCAGTTCATGTGCTGACCAGAAGCATGCTCACAGGAAGAAGAAGCAGAGTGACAGTTAAATAAGAAAACCAGCTTTTGCAGCACTATTTATCTTTTGATTGACTATTCATTTTTCTTTTGTTATTTTTGGCTAGAGTTCTCCTTTAGGGTTAGGTACTAAAATATATGTAGACCCAATCACTAAAATCTCCAGAAGCTTTAACATGTAACTTTAAAAATAACTTTCAATATTTTCAAATAATAACTTTCATTTTTTTTATTCACAAATTTAATTAAAATAATACCTGGTGATTCTGCCATAAAAGCTCATATTCTGACTCTTCCTGTTATAGGAGCAGCAATGCTCTATCTCTCAGTTGGGCTACAGGTGAATGTATCTATGTACATTATGCAGGCATGGAGCAGTCTAGGGTGACAACACTAGGATACAGTACAGTAAGTAAGCATTGGCACCCTAGGACAGAAACTGTGTTACTAGCTGGATCAGAAAATGAAAGTAATGGGAACAAAAACTAATGCAGTGAACACATCTAAAGACTGGTAAGCTGCAATATATTCCATTTTTGTTCTTGGGCTTAGCTACTCTTGAATTTTAACCACTTCAGTACTGCCATACATATATAAACGACTCGGTCCTGAAGTGGTTATACCAAGGTCACAGCTGCTGCATCAGCCATGATCTTGGTACCAATCTCTTCATCTGGCATACGGCTGTCACATACAAGACTTGTTGGGCTTGGATATACTTTAAGTTTAAACCAATTGGTTTTAGTGCAGTTTTGTAGCAAAGCTACAGAAAATGATTTTATTGTCTATTATTCCTCTTGATCTTGTTCTCATTTCTCTCTCTCTTTCTACAGTCAAAGAAGGGCCACCAGAAAACCATCCTGGAACTTAACACCCCCAAAGTGGAGCAAGCACCTATAGTGGACCTTATGTTCAATGACTTTGGAGACCCAACGCAAAAATTTGGCTTTGAAGTGGGACCAGTATGTTTCCAAGGCTAAAATGACTTTCAAATTTTAAAAGTTTTTTTCAAGAAAAGAGGCCAATAGCATACCAGAATGCCAATTTTCCAAATGAACAACCTTGAAACCTCATCACCGTTTAATCAAGTCTTCACTTGCATATTCTTAAACTGCAAAGGTGAAGAGTTGAGCCCCAAAATTTGCCAGAGGCGAAGCGTTACGCCTGGACCACAGATATATTAGGGAAAGAAAGATATAGTAAAAAAAAAAAACGTTGCCTACTGCCTTGGTATCACATGACCTAAACAGCATCACGTGACAATCATCAGAAGCACATGAATCCAGCAAGAAATGATGTCCTCTCTCATGCACAAACCTCTTAAATGGTCTCTGAGACACATGTCAAAAATAATGAAGAATATCACTACAAGTGACAGAGATGCTTGAGAAAGATAATCCCACCAGACACCACTTTGGAGGGACTGATTTTTTTTTTACCACTCAGTTTCTAACATTTATAAAGTCGGTCTTCCTCATCAAAGCAGATGTCACTGTGCAACTGCGCCTGACTTGTCCCTTTGTATTAAAGGTGCTTATATTTTTGTATGTAATTATTTGTATTGTATATTATTATTATTTTGTTTGTTTTTAAAGTTAAAAGAAAATTAATTTGCATTACCCTAGCTTTAAATCATGCATGTGGCCTGGTTTTTAACCAGGTTTATAATGGGCAAATACTGGCAAACTCATGGCAACGTGTACATTTTTTAATGAATACAGATTTTAATCTACCTGCACGTGGTACTGTTTTATGTTTTTTTCCCATTTTTTTCAATATTTGCAATACAGGATCCATTAAAAATTGTTTGCCAGCAATTTACACTCTATGCAAAATAATTTTTGTTTTGTTAAAAGCAGAATGGTGACTCTTAATGTGCAATGCTGTCATTCTAGAAAAAAAATAAGAGAGAAAAACATCCCCAAAACACGCAACTTACAAATAAATAACCCAAACCACTATGTAATTGTGCTATTTTTGTCAGCTCCCCTATTGGGCAGGATAACTCCTCAAAAAGCTGTATAAAGTGTTTGATCGAGTAAAGATTTGTATTTTATTTTTTTGTAACCTGTTGTAAGTGTCTGCCTTTTCTTCGAAGGCTTTATTAGTACATACAGCTGACCTATATACTGGCAACACTGATCAAAGAGCCTGAATAATCCTTTTTAGATGAGCTCCTTTCCACTTGATTAGCACAATGAAATGTACTTGTGACAAGGTTCAAAACAGCCTAGTAAGTTGATAATTATTGTACAGTGTTAGAACCTCTTCATTTTATTTTACCTCCTACCTTGTCACAAAGCAGGAGGTTGCATGTAGTGGGGGTGATTCTTGTCAGGCATAGGTGCTATGTTCATTTTCCTGTGGTGCTATTTGTTTTGTTTTTTTAATTTTCGTATATTATTCCATCAGTGGCAGTGCTCTGCTATGGGCAAACCACCACTAGTTACTGTCAGACATGTCCCACACAAACTGCTAGCTATGAGAGATATAATGCATGCTTCTTTTGTATCCATGAATTGTGTAGATATGCCATAAAAAATAAAAACAACAAAAAACCTGAAGGAAACAAATGAACTGTATTGTGGTAGCTTTCCCATGTAGAGTTTTTACAACTTATCACTCCATCTATGTATTTGTAATTATTCCAAAATTGTTATCAGATTCTGATTGTGGTGCTAACTTATGTTGTGTGTTTTAAAAGTGTTGAAGAAGAAATGTTTTATTTTTTATTTTTCCTCTCTCATGTGCTTTCTTGTACCTGGAGGTGAAACCAAGGTTGGCGAATGTGCATACCAAACTGGTTCTTGCGTTTCCCAGTATGGCGAGAGTTTACATTACCAGTACTGTACTGGAACGTCAGTGCAACTCACTGAACAAATAAAAATAAAAGGGACACAAATTGCTTGAATTGACTCTTTTCTGAATAGATTACCTAAAATTTAGGGCGTAAAGAAGGTCAGGGAGCATGATTAGTGAAGGCACTAGACTGAGCTTCACATGAGTAGGCGATGATCACAAATACAGCTTTATGCACATTCTTGTGACTTAAATATTTTTTCTCAGCTGTAGCCTTACCTGGAAAAACTACTTTACAGAATTTTTTTTCTTTTACCTTTTAAATGGTAAATATTACCTTTCCCTTCATACGAAATTCCTTATTACTACTTATTAAACATATTTTTAGTTATTGTTGAACCACAGTGGATTGATTAAAGCCTTTGGTGGCTGCTCCATCAAACTCCAAGATTGACCAACACTTGTTCTTGTAACGACTAGCCTATATTCCTCTAAAAACACATTTGGCTATATTCTATGTTACTGGGGCAATGTCCCAATAATCTCCTGGTTTTTGTTTCTGGAAGCATACAAAAGCATTTTGCCTAATCCAACTTCAGTATCTATATACAAACTTAGCACTGTTTTTTTGCACCAAAACACTATTATTTACACTAGTTCACTGAATTGATGATTGGTTTGGTTTGAAAGTACAAGTGATAAATAATAGTTAAGTTCAAGCATACGTTTGCTCATGCATGCAAGCCATCAGGTTCAGTTAACTGCCGTCCTCCGCAGCAAAACATCCTCATCTCCTTTTTACTCCCAGCCTGCCTCATTCAGGCATTGGAATCAAAGATAAGAAATACCAAGAACTTCCTATATAGGAAATTCCCCTTCCATCAATGTAACAGCGCTGGTACTTTGTAATGATCTGCTCAGGCACCCACTTCCCATGGTGAGTCCACAAAGCTTACAGAGGGTTTCATCTGCTTGCTCTTGGTGACTGAACAGAACTGTGGGAAAGTGGAAAGAAGGTAAATATGTGTGTGAACCTGTTGCTTTGATCTGCAAGTAGATTTAAGGGGGTACGTTTACAGGCTAGGCCAGGGTTAGTATGGGGTCAGTTTTGCGTGTGTGATAAATTTGGTTTCAGTCATACAAACTTGTTTTTTGGCATAACGTAATATTCTAGAGTGATGAATGTAATTGCCAGAAACTGTTACATCTGAAATTACCACAAGCATTTGTTACAGAGATTTAATCCATGAACAATTAAAGAACAAAAATCTGGTAGCTGTATCCATTGACAAATAAAATTCTATGAAGTTGCAGAAGGGGTTACATTAAGGCTTTAGAAATAGATTTAGATTAGCACCAGGTTAAGCATTCAGGAGTTAGGTCAGCAAAATCGTTTATAGGGCGTTCTTTTTTTTTTGTTGGTAGGATACATTTTATTACCCAAAACCTTTGCATCCCAAAACAACATGCCGGTTTTACATTGTCTGAAACTGATCAATGAACAATTACATATAGTAGTGGTACTGGTGAGAAAAAAAAATCTACAGAAATAGTGTAGTATAATCCCTGAATTATTAAATTGGTATGAAAGTTATGAATACATCTTTTTCCTAAGCACTACACCTCGGATTTGTGAACCTATATCTGCTATAGCTGTGCAGATTGCGCTGACTGACATGGTATTGTGGTTTGTGAAAGTGACTACATTTGCCACTTGTTTCTATTATTTTTCACTTGAACTAGTAAATATAAAATCTGGTGGTTGACAAACCAAATAAAAATAAAGATGCGGTGCATTAAAAGTGTCCCCAGCTAAGAGAAGTACAAACGTTTTAGGATATTCCATCATGATTAGTATGTATATTGATTTTGGCTACTCCAAGTTCATGACAGGTCCGGTTCATTACAAACAGTAAACAGTTGCTTTCTTAACTTCCTATAAACGCCTCTCCTCTCTGCTGCACACTATAGAAACCAATGAGGAAATAAAATGTTATTACTTTTACTTTTTGTTTATTTGGCTGTATACTTTTCATCAGATTAAGAAACATGACTAAATAAAAGATTTCAAGCGTTTTATAATTTTGCAGTGTCCCAAACTCAACCAACCTTTGAGGCTTCTCAATTGCTGTTTCACATAATTGATATCTTGAGATGGAATATTCACAAGTTATATTAAATGGGCTGGAGCAATTTTTCCTTGCTAGAATAGTTTGCTCATGCATAACTAACCAGCTCAAAATGAATAAAAATTTCACAAATCAGCCGCATTAAATTTAGTATTCATTATTGTATTACACTCTAACGTCTTGCTGAAAGAAGATCTAATTATATTTTTTATTTTTTTTTACCTTTTTGGTACCATTGGGATGATACTGAGACAGTCGTACAAGGCAGATGAAAAACTTTGGTCATAAATAAAAAACCCATTTCTCTTCTAAAATGAGACAAGGCCTGGAGCTTTTCTGACTTTATAAGTATTTGAAAGCTTGCACAAAAGTTAAACATGCAAGGTCGTTATCAAACATTTTGCTCAGTAACTTTGTCCTTTAATACATTTGGATTTTATTGTACATTTGACCACATTGCAAGCTTAATAAAAAATAGCACTGACTTTCTATGCATTATAACCACAACATTGCCTAAATAATTACCTCTTAACCCATTTTTTAATCAAAGAACCAAAACTGGTTTGCACATTTTGCTCTTAACTATTTTTTTTTAAATATTCAAAATAATTGATGTGATCTTGTTTAGGTCATGTGATCTTGTTGCAACTGAACCAATCACACATTTTATAATTTAAATGTGTTTGTAACTTATTATAAAAGTACCAACATTTTTCCATAAAAAGGAAAACATACAAAAGATATATTGAAATAAACATTCCCTGTGCCTGCAGAAAAATCTGTGATTTCTGGTGTAATTCTGTGTTGTTTTTTTTTTTTGTTGCCCATTTAAAAAATCTTTATATTAAAATAAGACTTCGGGTAAATTAGCAAATCCTGTCCTTTGGTGGAAAGCATTCTTCCTGGTATTACAAAGTCACATACTGTGCAGTTTTTTAAGATATGCAAATTCCATTTAGTATACTACAACCTAAATTGAGATGCCTCTAAATTACTAGTTTATTTGTTTGCAATAAATCAGGTTTACTGTTCTATCTCATCTGTTTACTTGACGTGAATGTTTTTAAGTATAATAAAGATTTTTTTAAATTTATTTTTGTGCCCTGTTCCATGTGAAATGTTAAGAACAGTGCCCCGCTCTTAGGGAAATCAATACATCATTAGATCTATGTTTGTTTAACTGCAGGCAGTATAAGTACCTTCAGTTGACCCAGTACCAGCCATTTGCAGTCCCTGTACAGCAGGGCTGTGGCGTGAGAGAAAGAAGCAGTACAAGGAGCCAATCAGTTTATGTGTTGACAAGAGTAAAGGTGCCCACACACCTTACGATAATAGCGGGAAATCCCACGATCGTACGATTATCGTAAGGTGTGTGGGAGCCGTGCGACCTCTGCTACTGTAAGGTCGCACGACTTTTATCTTTGGAACATGTTCGAAAACCCGCCGAGAATCGTACGATTTTCGGCAAGTGTGTAGCATGTTCGTAAGATAAAAGCCGGACGGGCCGGTGTGCGCAAGAGCACACTGCCCGTTCAGCATTACGGTCATTGGAAGCCCGCCCCTCAGCGGGGCAGGCTTGCGATCATCGCAAGTACGATCTGCCTGTCCAAGATGGGCAGATTGTACGTTTTTTTAATTACCTTACAACCATCGCAAGACAAAAGTCTTGCGGTGGTTGTAACGTGTGTGCCCGGCTTAAGAGAGATGAGCCAATCACTGTGCAGCTTCCATTTCACTCTCCAGTCACAGTCTGGGGCAGGTCCAGGATAGCCGAATCTCAGAGGAAGTGGATTGAATGATGATAGCCATCAGACTGAGGACATTTAGCAGGAGAAAAAATACAGCGGGGGAATTTTCTGGTTTACAGCTGGATATTGCAGCAAAATGTGGTTTTGCTATTTTATCTTTTAATGGGCTGTTCATTTTATCTTTTTTTTGTAGCTAGAGTTCTTCTTTAAATGTTTTCAGTTATAGTTTCAGGATACCTCCATAATAGTCTTCACATCAGTTATCAAATACATACTTTGTTTAAATATTAAAGACCAACTGCAAACATGTTTTGTTTTGGGGTGAGTAAATACCCCAACAGTGGCACAGCAATAAAAAAAAACTTGTTTTGTTGGCGCAGTGGGAGGTCTGAAATGTTCCATCATGTTGGGGATGTTTTGCAGCCACTTCAGGAACATACCCCAGCGTCTAAAGCTTCCATCCTGTTCTTGAAGAATCAACATCCGCCTTGACACATTTCAGGAGATTGGGTTAATGTGGCGGAGTGTGGCTAGAAATGCTGGCTATGATCCCAACTCTCATTGAAACTTCTTTAACTTTATAGAAACAAGTCTCTTTGCACATGACAAACCACTGCTACCTATACCATGATCGGGATAAATTAGGAACATTGTAACATTGCAATTCTACTTCATAATAACTTAATAGTAATTGAAAAATGAACCCTACATCTTCAATACAATATCTGTTTGCGGTCTTGATGGGAACTTCATTAAGTTTTCCATATGCCTTTTCACCCCCGCCATGCTTCTTACAGGTGCCAATATGAGTGCATCGGTAGCAGTAATTTACTACCGACAATATGTTTTTACCTATCCAGAAAACCCATCAAAACTGTGGTGAGGTCAGCTAAATGGACCACAAAAGCCATCTGCTGTGAAGAACTGGTGCTTACAACAGAAGGTGTTCATATAACTCTGCTGCTTTTCAAATCCAAATATAACATATTTGTTATTGATGAACTCTTGAGCTGAGACACACATTATTCTGTTAATGGCCTAGCAGATGTGTCTAAGATCTGATGCAGTAGCATGTGTGAATAGAATGTACCCCAAAGAGTATAACATCCACACACTGCAATAATACTCTCACATGTTATTTACCAAAGAATGGACAATGTCAGACAAAGCTTTAAGTAGTAAAATGCTAAACATCTTCACCTGCTTGTGTTCTGGAGATATTGCCCTAATGTGCATTTACACTAAACTCCACAGGCAGATATAAAACACACGCACACCAATTCATGCAGTTACAGTAAAAGCAACCCATGGAAATTGTTGACTTTTTAAAAAATATTTGAACAGGCAAATGGGAGCTTCAAACAAATGGTGCCAACATGTAAAGGTGGTGGACTGAATAAAAGCTGAGTGATACACAAATAAGTTAAATTTTTGTCAATAGTTAAGGTACTTCAATGTATTTTTAAGATTTAACTCCTGAGTTTAGTGTCACTTTAATAAAATATATTTTAAAAAATGGAAGTTTGGTGTTTAGTTATAGTTTTGGAGGAAGTTGTAAGTTATTTCTGTATAATTTTGTGGTTTGTCAAACTTTCCTTTGTTAGCAGCACATCACCACATAGTATTGTGCCCAGGTTTACTGCACCAAGTCACCAGCTTGTGAAGTGCTCCAAAGCACAACATACTTAATCCTATTGCCACATATGCTAGAATATTAGGCATTTAGGTAATCCCCAGTTTCCATCATGCCTGGGAGGCATAAAAGGAGTGGAGGTTCTTCAGTCAGGTTTTTGGGGTACAAGCAGATTCTGCATTCATTGCCCAAAGCAGTGGCTGGGCTGCACCTTTCAGAAGCAGGGAACGTTTGCCTTTTTTTCTCGCAGATTGCATGCTGTACAGTCAGAGCACATTGAACAGGGGGTGGAGGGGATAACCAAGCCTTCTTCATCCTCCACGGTGTCATTAGCAGGTACAAATTCACCTTCTTTATCCTTTTTTACAGCTTATACTGCCAATGCCCCACAATTTGGCATTGAGGACTCAGTTGAATTATTAGAGTACTCCATCAGAAACTTGCTGCAGAAGGATGCATAGCAATTCACTTCATCATATGTTGAGGAACAGAGAGCCAGAATCATGGAGAGAGGGAACAGACAGGGCAACATAATTGCCAGTAATGTTCTTGCAGCCACAGATTACTGCCCAGTGGGCTCAAACAATGAGGATAATGAGGACCATGAGGTGGTAGACTGTACCTGGGGTGTCTATGATAGTAGAGGAGGAAAGTGTGTGAGAAGCACAACATTACAGAGGAAAGATGTTATCGAGAGGCAGTTTGCAAAGGAGTGGAGGGATCAGCTGCCATATTCCACCGGATGGCATTGCTCCAAGGGTGCAGGCCACTAGTATCCCCAGGTCCACTCTGCAGAGCTCAGCAGTCTGAACCTTTTTACACACATGTGCTGCAGACAGCACCATGGTTTACAGACTATGGCTACAGTGTATTAAAGGTGGTAAATCTACCAGTCATATTGGTACCACATGCATGTAGACACTTGACTGTTCACCACAAAACTTAGTGGGGAGCAGCACATAAATTATACAGGCCAGCAGCAAAAGGCCCAAAATCCTTGTTGCTTGTCCTTTTCTTCTGCTTCCCCCACTCCACAAGACTCTGCATCTGCTGCAACAACTGTGTCCTAAAGTGATAGGGATGGAAGTCTGACAAGGGTTATGAGAGGCATAGCTTAGGGCACATCAAGCAAGGTAAGAGGGTCAGCATAGGGCTATGCTTAGTAAGGCCGAGCTCTAGCCTCAACCATGCTCTAAGTCTCCTAACCCCTCCCTGTTGTCTCAAGCTACATCCCTAACCAGGCAAGGTGTCTCTTACCCAAATGTTGGGGCATAAGAAAATGTTTCACCTAGTAACCCCCCTGGCCCAGCCGTCTCAATACCAGCTTGGCAAACGTCCATCCCTACCCTCTGCCAGCATGTGGCAAATAATGTCTCTGTGTAGCTGGAGCACGGAGCGAGAAATAGGGCTTACGTGACCACAGGCACGTGGTTCAGCTAGCATGGGCAGGGATGTTATATCTCCTCCAAGGTGCACTGGGTAAATTTGCTGGCAGCAGGAAAGGATGCAGGATGGCGCACACCACTGGAGTTGGTGGTGTCATCCTGTGTCATGCAACTTGGTGATGGTGACAGCTCAGTCACCTCTAGCCCCTCCTCCTTTTTGGTCTTATCTGGTGAATGTTCAGAACCACCAATCCCGCCAAGACTAAAGAGCCTACGCAATGGCCCAGGCAAATCACTGCCATGATGTTTTGCAGCTGGTATGCCTGGGAAAAATAAGCTACACTGGGGCAGAGATTCCGTCAGCTCTTCTGAGGAAGATCCAGAAGTGGCTGACCCCATGCCACTTTGTACCAGGAACATGTTTACAATGGCACCAACCTGCTGCACACCCTTTGGCAGGGAAATTTAACACACTTGACTGCCACATGACCTCAACCTAGTGAGGCAGCCATTCCTAGCTAGGTTACTCTGGTGTTATAGTATCCCAGTCAGGAGGTCCAGAAGACCCATCAATACCTCTACTGGTATTTACATGAGCCCTGACATTAGTTCTAGTGGCCCTCACAAAATCAAGGCTGGTGAGACCAATGATAGCCACAGAATCCAGAACATCCAGAGTGCCCTGAAGGGAGCGGAGTGTGTTGTTTCTGACTCTGCAAGGGGCTGGTGCTATGTCTTCAAGTTACCTTCCTGTGTGTACAAGAGCTATAATACTGTTTGTTTCCTGATGCTGACCTGGACCAACTGACCCTTCTTCGCTTGCCACCTGCCCTGATCTTCTGCCTGAACCCAATAACGTTCTCGTCTTACTGACTGATTACTCACTGCCGACTTGGACCATCTAACCACTGTTAGCCTCCTGCCTTGACTCTTCCCTGATCTGACAACTCTCCTGTTGCCCCACTTGGTCTCCCATCTACTGACTGCTGACCTAACCATTCAACCATTCTCTGTTCAGGACCTCTACCTTTCCTGTCCACGCTCTGGATTACCATCTCCTCACTGGAGCCCTCCTTTCCAGCTTATCCCATGGTGGGGCCATGACCTGGCACCAACAAGCAGCAAAACTAGACATGTGCACAGCAAAAAAAAATAGTTTCAGGCGAAACAAATTAAAATAAAAAACATTTTCATTAATTTCGTCAAAGGAAACAAATGTTTGTGCCGTTTTGGAATCAGAAACGGCACAATGAAACTGCTGGGACCAGCGGCTTGATACCTCTCATGTTCCTGCTGGAGCAATCACTGCATGGTGTAACAGACCAGGCACTAGAGGCACAGCAGCAGGAGGAAGAGGAGGGCTTCCTGCTGTCCCAGGGCCAGCTTTATCTAGACCAGTGATGGCGAACCTTTTTGAGCCCGAATGCCCAAACCGGATCACTAAACCAAGTTATGTATCTCAAAGTGCCAACCCTCTCAGGTGGTCTAAAAGGGCTCTCAGCCGGGCTCTATGGGCTTTGAGGTGGTCTGTATGGGCTCTCAGGGGTCTGTTCGGGCTCTCTGGGGGGCTGTGCAAAGAAAATGCTTTTTTCCAGGCACATATCACAGGCAGGGTAAATTGGAACACTCTCTGTCTGACTGCAACTGTTGCCAGATCTACCTGCAGAAATATCATTTTTTTTTGGTACTTCTTTTAGGCTCCATTCACACATAGCAGTAGTGAAAAACCGCGGAAAACAAAACTGTGCAAACATTAACATACGAGTTACATACAACTCTATGGGTCCCTTGGATTTTGTATATGGACTCCGCTGCATTTCTCGCATTGTAAGTCGCTAGATACTCCTTTATGGAAATATAGCCGGTGAACTGTCTCTAATGTGACTACTGGACCCATAATTTGGATTATACATGCTGTTGGGGTCCGAGGGGCCTCTCTTCTTTTCCCTTCCACTTCCTACTTGGACTTCTCTTTTACTTTCTGTTCTCTCTTTTGGCCTGATACTCTTTTTTTTTGTTCCTTCTTTTTCTTGTCGTGTTCCTTGGTTCGTGTAGTTCTTGTGTGTTTCCCCCGCTAACTTATGTCTGAGTGCTGCCTACCACCAGGGGATTCAACTCTGTCTTTTTTCTCGACTCTTACACTACTGGTTCGAGGCTTAAAGGAGAACTATGGGGTCAGTGTTTTTCCCCATAGTTCTCCTTAGGGTAACGGGAGGACACAAACTAGCGTCCTCCCGTTACCCTAAGCTCAGTATACCGCGTGCTACAGCTCGCGGTATACTGAGACGCCGCACCTGGAGCGGATCCCGACGTAGATGACGGGATCCGCCCAGCTGCGTGAGTGACAGCTGGCTCTGCCTATCTAGAGGCAGAGCCAGCTTTACCCGCCCCGTCCCCCGTCCGTTCCGCCAGTCAGCGCTGGCAGATCGGAGCGGGGAGAGGGGAATCCAGCCCCTCCCCCTGTCACGGCAGAGAGCCGTGACAGGATCGAGAGGTGAGGGAACCCGGTATGTGTTCCCTCACCTCCCGATCTACTGAGCCGACCTGTGACAGTCTCATTGTCACAGGTCGGCTTAGAACTATGAGGTGAGTGGAAATCACTCATCTCATAGTTCTCCTTTAATCCTATAGATTGCCACTGTTGACTACTGCCTCTGGAACCCACCCACGGGTCCTGTACTTTACTGCTTACTGCTCTGGAATGTGTGACCCTTTAATATCAGTGCCTCGTATTTGATCGGGTCTATCAACATCTGTACCGTGTTGCCCTCTGCTTTTTCTACTGTTTGTATTTTTTGTACTGAAAAAAACCTAATACAACCTGATTGTTTTTAAAAAAAAAACATACGAACGGCTATTGCTATAGCCGGAACACGTGGAATCCGCCCATAAAATTGTGCTTGGACAATTTTGCAGGATGAACGGTTTCGGATCACATAGACGACGCAATAGTCGGAACATTGCACATTGCAATGCATTTTTTTATGTTTAGAGAGTTTCCACGTGTATTCGTATGCGCGGAAAACTGCTCATGTTTGAATGATCAAGCCCTTTGGGCTGAATGTGTAGAAAAAATTAGCAGTCATTTTAAATCTATGCCACTTATAGATTATTATTCTTACAGTGAAATTAGGGATTTTAAATAACGGTTTGCTCTTTTAAAATCCTTTGCTAGACCCATAGGCATTCAAAACCTTCTGAGGACCTTAGAGAGCTATTTTGATCTTAGCATGAGGACACCAGACACATTAATATAAAAGAAAAACACTAGATAATGATTAGAACCTCCATATGGAATATGCAATTGGACCCTGTCTTGACTCCTAATCTGGAACACGCCCATCTGCACCTCCAATCTCACTGTGGCTGGTGAAGGTGGGATAGATCTACAGGATGGAGGATCTCCTGGCCTCTGCCAGCCACAGGGTTACTCAGTTCAATCGCACATGGTTCTACTGGGCAGTATTCATTACATCTCCAGAATATGCAACCCTACTAGGGGGGTGTGATGATCAAGACACGGTTGTTCCATGGTGACCTTAGGCCTACCTGGGGTGGGGATGCAAGTTCACTTCCATCCATTGATCTCATATAACAGCAGGGTTAGCCAGGCCTAAGACTGGGCCACATACCAAGCAAAACAACGACAAACGCACTCAACAATTTGTTACCAGTTATACAGTAAGGTGCACACGAAATGGGCTTTGAATAGTAAAACAGCAGAAAGGCATCATGGCACACTCACAAAACCAGCATGTAAAACAACATGTCACACCACTAAGGATAATGACAGAGGTTTGGATACACGTCTTCAGCCGAGGATGTGTAAGCCGCACTTTAAGGATGTTGGGCGTCCTCCTGACAAACCTGCACCCAATTTGATATCTTCTGCCCCCATTCCCCCCCCTTTCTATTATTCCTACTCCTCTTCTCCTCTTTTCTCCCCCCTCCTTTTCTTCTCTCAATCTCATTACCTCACTCCCGATTCTAAGTATAGACATGCTATGGGCCTAGCGCTCACAGATATGTACATGGTGTGATGGGGCAAACTACGCCAGCTAGCGGTGACAGGATATGAGATTGCCTTTACTGAGTACCGACCCCATGTTCGCCGACTAATCATTTGGAATTTTCCTGAAATGCCTTATGTATGATCTGTACAACAGTTATCTGTATTTTCTGTATTGTTTGTCTTTCTATAACATTGAAATACCCATAAATAAAGAATTTATTTAAAACAAAATTGTTAAACCGAAGCCAGCACTGTAAACAGGCACTGCAGGTCCGCAGCAAGGTCCCGGCAGCCTTCCTGTGAATTACAGTGCCTGTTTACAGCACTGACAGCAAATCAGGGTTGTGGGGAAGAGGCATGTGGCCTGGTAAGGTGCATGGGGGGTGCTCTATTGTGCCCCTCGTTTCCTGCCCTGCCGGGCTGTGCTCAGATCAAGGGTCTGGTAGGTATTTTAGGGGGTCCCCAAATTGTTTCACACATTTTTGGGGGGTGGGATTCCCGTTAAAATTTATACCAGACCTAAAGGGCCTGGTATGCCTTTGGGGGTAACCCCATGCTCTTTTTTTATTAACTTGGGGGGGAGGTCCCTTCTAACATTCCTACAAGACCTAAATGGTCTGATATGAATCGAGAGGGGAACCTCACGCTTTATTTATGTTTTCCTTTTGTCTAATGTCACTTTGCTGTAACGAATATATGGCTGAAACGAGGATTCGTACCGAGTACAGCTAAAAAATTTCGTCCTAATCCGAATCCCGAAACAAAATCACTTTCGGACTCGAATCCCGAAAAATTTATTAACACGAAACAAACTTTTTGCCGGCGCACATGTCTATTTAACATGATAAAGAGTAGATACATTTATATAGTCTTACAGATACAACCGGCCCTTTGAGGGCAAACATAATTCTGATGTGGTCTGTGATCAAATTGAGTTTGACACCCCTGCTTTACCACTTACAGCTGCCATGGTCAGGCCAGAGAGAAGATTGCAGCAGGTACCTACTACAAACTACCAACATACTTTCATCTGATATCACCAATTACAGCATTAGAAATTACTAAATGCATCAAATTCACATGACCTGTAGGAGGTAATGCAGACAAATGTAGAAGGCATGTGCAGACACCTAAAGGAGGTACGTGCAGGCAGCTGTAGGAGGTACCTGCAGGCACCTGCTGGGAGGTACATACAGACACCTGTAGAAGGTAGGTAAGTAGAGTCACCTATTGCATGTAAGTAGAGCCACCTGTAGGGGGTACATGCACTTTCTTCCTACGCCTGTAGGAAGAAAGTGAAACCACCTGTAAAAGGTGTTGTAATCTGTAGGAGGAAAGTAGATCCACCTGTATGAATAATATGCAGACAGCTGTGAGAGATAAGTGGAGCCACCCATAGCTTCTCTTGTATTTAAGAGACAGGCAGAACAAAAAAAGGTATTTTATCTCTCATCTTGTTGCACATTAAAAGTGGTAAGGGCATGAAGGAGAGGAGAGTGGAGACAGCTCGTATTATTGAATGTCCTGGACAGCTGTGATTTATCCACAGAAAAAGGTGTATGTGTGGGTGTAAGGGGGTCAGTAAGAGGGAAGGGGACCACCTGGGGACCTCAATATACTAACGATGGCATTTCTAACAAAAATGCCTTTTAAAAAGGCCAGATTGCGATCGGAGAGAAAGGAAAACCAAACAGCTCATCATGAAGAGAGCACTTCCAAATGCTGCGGCGAAACCCGTCAGGCTCACCAATTACCAGGCGGCTGTCCAAACCCTGGCAGTCCAGCATAATGCAGTAATTGTCTTATTTCCAGAGCAACTCATTAAACGGCTAATTATCTCCATTATGTTTAAAACAGCGATATTAGGAAAAATAAGGCAGCGGCAGGACTGTACAGAAAGATAATTATATTGATTTTAATGAATTCCTATAAATATAACAGTGATTATTTCCTCTGTGTTTGTGTAATTAATATCAGTTGCTGGGTACAGAATATGATTATCACTAGCAAAACTGTGAACTAAAATGAACCCTGGAATGGTTAAAGAGAACCTGTCACCAGGAAAAGGAGAGTGAAGATCGCCGATACTTTTTTAGTGCCATTTTTGCCATCTTTTGCTGCCATTTTAGTGTCTGTGGCTCCCAGCTACATGTGGCTTTTTGATATAGAGAGTTAGAAATGTATACTAAAGGATTCAAAACCTTTACCTTTCTGTTGCTGGTTACTCAATGGCAAACATGACACCAGTAAGTAAGTGTGCCTCAAACGGCAACATCTCACTACCTGAGTACCTGAGAAATATTAGAATTGATTAGGTGATTTTCCTATGTCTGTACATTAGACATGCATGGAGTGACCTTTAAATGTCTTTATATCTGATAAATTCCTAAAATGTTTGTGTCACAGAAAGGGAGTACAGGATGGGATGGGGGAGGGATGAGGGAGGCCAGATGGGGTATCGCTGTCAGTTGTGTGTCCTCGGAAACTGACCAGCACACTGGCAAATTATTATGAGAACCCGAAATTCCTCAATCAGGACACATGATAACCAAAATTAGCTACTACTCACAACTTACAGGCTTGTAATAAACCTTGATCCTGTCACCCGAAATCAGTTACTTTTGCTCTCCAGCAGACTGGTGCACAAGCATTCATAGACTACCAGATTAGCTGGCAAGGCGATACATAGAGTTAGAACAAATACTCACTCACGATTTTCCCTGTTCTTGCAGATTTTATCAATCAGGGTGCCGTGGGGAAGTGGGGTGGAAATATAACGTGAAGGGGGAGTTTCTGATGTGAAGGGGGCTCCCAATAAGAAGGGGGGGCTCCACGCCCTCTATTTGCATTCTTACCCCCTCAATACCATGCTTTTTTTGACATGTATTATTTTTGCATGTTAAAACTGGGGTGCCTTAAGATTTTACATACCATCTGCATGCAGACATACCATCTGCAAATGGAGGCATTGCATAAAGGTCAACTTAAGTAACCCATGTGATGGTAATTCAAAAACGAAAAGCCAGAGCGCCGCATATCTGCTAATCATGCCTGTCTGATATTTTATGAACCCTATCGTAAAACACTAACTAGGCCAGAACACCAATTAATTATCACTGGGCAGCCCCAGTTGATATCCAAAGATCAGCCTGCACTGATAACAAGCAACTGACACTAATCTTACCTTTGGCAGTTAACATGAGTTTCAAAATTTAGAAGCAGTATTCATAACTTTGGAGCTGTGGTGGTACATTAATAATGAATATAAACAGTATATAAATGTGTCAGTTGACCCTGAGTTTAGGCGTACCAAACACCATTGGTTTAGAAGGTCCAAAGAGAGGCCTAAGGACCCACATTACTCCTTCTGAGGGAGGCATGCATCACAATTATGTCAAGTCAATCCAAAGCTAATTTCATAGCACATCATATTCTATTGCTTATAAAGTGATACTGTGTGTATATTAAAATATGGCTATTGTCTTGAAATTGACAGTTTGGGAGGGGCAGGTGAGAAAATAATAAAATGCTTCAGCCCTTCTGCTTCACCCCCTGAGCCTCCCTGATTGGGTGGCATCTGGCTCAGTGACACCCCCTAGAGAGCCCACAAAATGCTGCTGCACGAGGCAGCTGGAAAAACTCATTTACCATCAAGAGGAAGCACTTGTTGAATATCAAGAAGAAACTCTTTACTTTGAGAAAAACAGTCCCAGATTCTTCTGTTTCACTGAACTGGACTCTGCTGGAACTCATAAAACACAGGACCATGCTAAGTGCTTTCATTCTTATTCTCTTTTTGTTTAATGTTGTTCTATTTGAATCTCTTTTTGTAACATCTTTTTTCTGTATATTTTTCTGCATTTCTTTTATTGAAATCATTAAGCTTATCTCTACGCTCTAAACAAGAACTTAAAGTATCCTTGTCTCTGTTTAGAGCACTACCATGGTGTAAAACCAGTTATATTCCTGCCTGAAGGGACGGTGGACAACACAGGCATTGACTAGTTTTTCAACCATCATAGTATTTGGATATAGCTGTGCCACACTATACAGTGTTCTGGTCTGGAGTCTCTACATGTGCTCATCTATTTTCCCCACTATGGGGATACAAGCCTTAGTTAGCAATGGCATGATAAATATTCATTTCATGTTCATGTTCTTCATAATATTAAGAAACTGACCTAAAATCATGATTTTGTATTGCTTTAGAAAAAAATGTGGCCTGTCCCTTTAAGAAAAAGTATCGGTAATTGGTATCGGTGAGTACGTGAAAAAAGTATCGGTACTTGGTATCGGTCTTAAAAAAGTGGTATCGGTGCATCCCTAGTTATAAATATGAAGAGCGTGTGCTGTGGATCAATTGACTGAGGTCTATCACACAGGAGCGACAGGGGAGCCATCTACTATTCTCTGGGGCTCCTTAGGGGGTACACTACACGAATATTATAGAAAGTAATTTCTGGAAGTCCAATTGCCTTTGGTGATTAGGAAGGATATTTATTTTTTTCGTTTTGGAGCAAATTAGAGCACGTTTTATAAGATTTTTCTGCCACTTTCTTGATTTCTCTCTGAGAATGCAAAGAATAGCTGAACTTGATATCCAGGGTCGTAGGAAGGGCGAGGCGACAGCGCAGCCTGTTTGCACCCCCTCACCCATGTTGCCATGGTGAGCACAGGGCGCCATGGCAACAGGGGCGCCAGGCGGCCAACACTGGGTGTCAGGGAGTAGAGAAGTAACACAGGCTGTAGCTTCTCCTTGGAGATCCCCGTATGGGCAGGGGAATCGGGGATCTAAGAAGAAATGGAACGCTGAAGCCGGTGGGTGGGGGGGGATGGAGGTGTTAGCTGTCATCCACAGGATGGCCGAGCAGTGAGCAGAGAGAGAACCGCTTGGCCAAGTTCTGACAGCTGGCAGCACTCTCTCTCTCTCTCTCCTCACCCGTCGGCTATCCTGAAGTGACAGCGCTCCCTCCTCTGCCCTCCTTGCCAACTTCAGTGCTTCATTTCTCCTCAGATCCCTGCTGCCTCTGCCCATACAGATGAGGGAGAGGAGAAGCTGCAAGGTGGCCAAGTGGCTCTCAGAATGGAGAGCGGAGGACCAGTAAATATCTGATATTTATCGATCCTCTGTGTGCAGCTGATCACTCCACTGTTTGCAAACAACTGGGGACACATAGTACTAGGTGTCCCCAGTTATGAATGAATAGGAAGTGATTTACATCACTTCTTGTTCATTTATGAATTTTGAATGGGTAGTACCACTTAATATAGAAGCTTCTATCCATTCAGAATTGTTTGTTATTAATTAAATATTTTACTATCAACAGTTTCTGAATGAATGGGAAGCCTTTGTACTGAGTGCTTTCCATTAATTTAGAACAAAGGCTGCAGAAATAGAGATTGAGGACTCTGTTTCCTCAATTGCTTTTTCTGTTTCAAAAGGGACATGTCAGGGGTATGTTTAGACCCCTGATATTTCCCCAAAGCCGACCCAACAGTAAAAAAAAAAGAAATGTTAAAAATAAATAATAAAAAACAATTGTTTGTTCTTGCCTCGGCTAGCTAGGGCTCTGTTGATACCAATGCATGTTTTTAACCAGACTACATGCAAACTTACCTGGCCCTGCACACAGCCTTTTTCAGTAAGTTGGAACTCTTCTTTCTGTAATTCCCACGTGACAATCTCACCGACCTTCCTTATTTTACTGCAGACATCATTCCTGCAATGTTTCACTCTCTTCTAAGCTGATAGCATATAAATATATTAATAAAAGAATTTGCAACTAATGTAATAGGTGTTAAGTCTTATTAATCTGACAGTTTTGTCTGATCTAATAAACATTCAAACGCCTTTCTAAATCCATGGCGCAACACAACAGAATATTTTTTTATCTCGGAGAACTGGATTTCTGTTTCCAAATTGCAGGCAGCTGTGTTTAAATAAAGTCTTCATAATTACACAGAAAGACAGCTCACATTCACCAACAGGAAAAAAAAAAAGATGAATTAATTCCTCCAGTCTCATATATGCCTTTGTTTCAAATTAAGTTCAAATTAAGTTGGAACTCAAAAGATATTAAAGAAAAAAAATTATGCTTTATTTATATTATGACATCCTCCTTCACACCTCACTTACCAAACAAATTTAACACTTGTGGTGCACAGTAAATAGTAATATGCAAGGCATAGTCAAGTATTGTAGAGCCAATATGTCAATATTTGCACAGCCTGCAGACTAAGGCTCACCTGGTACAACAAGTCATTGACTTTCTGCATGTCGTCATTAATGAAAATGGGCACAAACTGGTAATCACTTTAGTCAACCGTAATGTTTCTGAACACAGATCCCTGGCACTTTATAAACAGTGAACTTAATGAGGGGAGAAAGGACTGTTTGCAAACAGCCTAACCTTTAACGACAGCAGCAGACAAACAAGCTGATGGTGACAAAGTGACAGTAAGAGCAGGTTTAGGCATTCATCTGGGGGAGATTAAGCCCCCCTCGTACAGACAAGGACAGCCAGGAACAGTCATAAGCAGAAACAATAAACAGAACTCAAGATTTATCCCTGGAAGTTCTTTGTTTTGGATTTATTTTTACTAATCTACCATGATGTTCCTGTAGTATATTGAAGTATACTAGTCCTTAGATGTGATGGTTGTATTATTTTACTTTTTTCAGGCTAAGAACATGTTTAACAAGTACAGAACATATCTGTTGATCTTGCCAAGAATGCATTGTCCTTGTCACTTCCAGGAAATCTTTGTTCTGTATTTGTTAATTCTAGTGTAATGGAGGTGAACAAAGGCAAACATGTTTGAAGTCCAGCCTGAGTGGCAACCACGGCCTCCTTCATCGACAAAGCAGAGGTGGGAACATTGTGGAACATTAAAAAAAATAACCTTCATAAGCCACCTGGACATGGTGGAGCAAGAGGCAGGCTGTCCTTTATGGGGACCCAAAGTGAGAGCCAATCTGTCTTAGGGAAGATGAAGGTGCAAGGTAGACCTGAACAGCTTTAACCACATCCAAACAATTGAGAGAGACCCCCTTAGGATAAACTGAAGCAGGACATAGTGATAAAAGAACAATGTCCTGGTTAAGGTGGAGGGCAGAAACTCCTTTTGAAGAAAGGAAGTTATCCGTCTTACGACAACACTGTCCTTGTGTACAATTAGAAAAGGTTATTTATAAGACAAGTCTGCTAAGTAGGGCACCTACCTCACGGAGATGATGGCACTGAGGAAGACCACCTTATGAGTGAGTATTGACAGGGGAATATCTCTAGTAGGTTCAAAAGATGTTCTTTGCAGAAACATGAGAACCAGGTTCCCCTGTCACTATGTGAGCTACACCTTGTACAAAGGGCATATCAAGAGACTATGAAGCAGATATTAGTCCCTTAATGGTGCCAACTGTTGATCCAGGCCATATTTTAGAAAGTCCCACGGAGCATTCTCTGGGATAAAATTTATTTTCCTTCCACCAGGCTAAATTTGCTTTTCACACGCGATGGTAGACCTTGTGTGACGTGGATTACTTAGCTTTCAGGAGCATATGCATAACCGAACCAGAAAGACCCCTGTACCTTAGCAACTGGGCTTCAGCAGCCACGTTGTCAAAGCGACCAACCGTGAATGATGGGGTCTGAGTAACACATGCTCTTGGGTCAATTCAGTGCAAGGAGAATGGCCGAACACCCTCCATCTCGGTCATACATAGTGGACGGGAATGGAGACAAACCTGTGTAGTTCGCTGTTGAAAGTGAAAGCAAGAAAGTCCACTTCAAGCTTGCCTCATCTGAGAAATAGGTCCTAGAACACCTCTGGGAGTCCAGACCTTGGCAGCTGAGGTAGTCGTAAACCATTAGGTTATACTCAAGACAATATGTCCCCCTTCTCTTTCTGTGGCAAGACTTCTGGTTCCTTCCTAGTAGTTGATGTATGCCATCATTAACAGGTGTTGTCTAACTGAATCCTGATTGGATACCTATGCAGTCGAGGAGTTCAACATTGAGGGAAGAGATGGATTTCTTGGAGCTTCAGTATGTTGATGGAGAGGACAAGCTTCTATTGACAACCAAGTGCCCTGCACTGTCATGATGTCCAGGATGCTAACCCAGACAAGCTATCATGCCACGTAAAAGGGGGTGTCAGAATCTGGCCTTGTAGAACAGTGAGCAGGTGGGCTCTGGTAATGGAACAGGGTTCTTGTATAGAGGACAATGTTTCAGTTGTGAAGCAGTCAACAACCGTTAACTATGCCAGGCAGGATGATGTGAAGAAGAGATAAATGCCCAGGCAATCAGTGAGGAGCTTGATTGGGAGGGCAGGGTTAGACAGTGGGGTGTGCAGAGGCCATTGTGTTGGTGGCTTGTACCAGGCATAGCACTGCTTATGTATAGGGAGAGGTAGGTGTGAAGTTGCGGTGACCCAGGGAAACAGCAATCCAACACATGGGGATGGGGACGGGTGGTGGGGAAGGGTGGTGGGGATTGAATGGGTGTCTGATTCTACTGGATAGTGAAGAAGTATGTATTATAAACAGAGCTCTGCGTGCCTGTAATTGTCACGCACGCACTGCTGCATCAATAACAGAAAGAGGTAATGGGACCACAGAGGAATATCTCACACATAGAGGCACATTATTGCTGCTCTGATCATTGTGACATTTTTATTTAAAAGGAGAGTTGTGTGTAATGGGGGACAGGAGGAGAGTATACTGGGGTTATCATAGTTTTGTAATGCTGCTAAATACTGTACAGGGGTAACCTACCCAATGAACTCCTGGAAATTAAAGCCAGTGCAGTGGGTTATATAGCTTAGTGATGAGGCTGGTAGCAGTATGAGCAGGAAGAATGGAAGCCCTTCCTAGTAAGGGTGAGGAGAATGAGCCCTTGTATGATCAACATAATTTTGTGCAAGGTAAGAATTTTTTTTATTTTTTTTTAGAGACATATACGCAAAAATTAGGTTTTTTTTCCTGTGCCCATATCCTTCCTGTCTTTACACCACTAGATACACCTCTGCATGCAGCAAAAATGTTGAGTTGCATCTGTCTGGAGTGGAACTGTGCAAATGAACCTTTGCTAAAAATTAGGCTACTATCAGACCCAGAACTCTCATGCAAAAAACAGAGATTTGGGCAGCTCCTAGACTGCAGGGGCTGGATCTGGGAGCGAACGTTTAGGCGTTTCTCCTGTGGTAGAAAAACTTTGCCCTGAGCATTGTCCAGGATGAAATTCAGGAATTCCAAAGTGAGTCATCAGTTCCAGTGATGACTTCTGTAGGTTCAGGATCTAACTGTAGCTTTGTAAAGTCTGGATAGTTTGTCTAACATTGTCAAGGTCTGTGCTGACTGCTCTCGGTAAAAGATCATCGGGGTATCTCAGTATGTGAATTAACTGTGAACAAAAGGCTACCAATGAAGCTAGCACTCGGGGTGCAGAAAACAAACGTAAAGGAAAGGCAACAAACTGGTAGCGTTCTGTGCCGACAGTGAAAACGCAGGAAGTGTTGATGTGCTGGAAACATGGGAACATGGAACTAGGCATCCTTGATGTCCATGAATGCTAGAAAGTCCCCTGGATAGAGGGAGGCTATGACTGACATGCTGGATTGCATAAAAAATATCTGCACTCAAATGAAGACACCGAGGGGAATTTATCAAACTGCAGCAGAAAAAATCTGTAGCATTCGCCCAGGGAAAACAATCAGCTTCTCACTTCAATGAAAGACAGAAGCTGATTTGTTGCAATGCACAACTGCTCCAGATTTTGTCTGCTCCAGTTTTGATAAATTCCCCTCTGAGTGCTTTGAGATCCAGGATGGCGCGGTTGCCCCCTTTGGTTTTGGGAATGGCAGACAGGTTTGAGTAAAAATATTGGAACCTTTCCTTTTAAGATATGATGGCAATGACCGCCTCTTGACCAAGAAGGTCTGCCAATGCACCATTAGCCTTTGCAGTAAGGTTGGCAGATTTGATATCATGAAGCGTGGTAGAGGTAAGGATTGAAATTCTACCTTGTTGTCCCGGGAGACCACCTCTCTCATCTGTCATCTGAAATGCTAGGGGTCCAGGCATCTGCACAGGCTGATCGACTTTCCCCCACTTTGGAAAGTGGTTGCATCCGCTCATTGTGAGGAGGATTTGTTCATAGGCTTGCAAGATTTGGGTTACACTGGGTCCTGAAATTTGGTCTGGAGGTTGATGCCTAAGAGAAATGGAAGGAATACTTTTTGCCATCAGGAGCACATTTTGCTAGATGGAGGCTTAGGCTTCTTTTGCTTCTGTAAAAAGATATTTTTACTACCACTAATTCCCAAAGAAACATTAATTGTCAAAGGGTATGTGGAGCAAACACTTCTTACATTGTTCTTCTGCAGACTAATGTTTAGACCAGAAAGTCCTCCGCATAGTAACAGATTTATTCTTGAAAAAAATGGACAATGTCTAGCATTAAGTAGTGCATTACAGTAATGTAATTCAGTAGGCATAAGCTGCAACTGGTTCGTAACTGAAAGGTGAAAAAATATGTTTTTGGGGTCTTTGAGTTCCTTAGATCCCACTCTCAGAGTCTGGCAAATTGCCATAAGAACATTAACAGATTTCAAGAAAAAACTAGATGGAAAGAGTTTCCAGATGCTTGTCAGCCTGGTCTGAAATGGCTGGGTCCCAAACAGGAATGGACCATTTTCTAGTAAACTCCTCCTCCATGGGATATTGCAGAGTAAACTATTTTGGAGGAAGAAGTAATTTGTCAGGTGTTGTCTAATCCCATGTAGAGGACGGCAAGGCTGGGTGGTGGAAGGCAGGTATATTTCGCCAATATTTGGGCTTTGGTCCCCTTAAGGGACCCCAGAGGGTTAACCTTCCTGACACAGGAAGCAGATGAAAAGGTCAGCAACTCCAGAGAGGAGTGTGGGAGTTGAGGAGAAAGGAATTAGCTGTGACTAGTGAAAGAGAGACCTGCTGGATTGCTGTGCTGCAGTGTTACAGGACTTATATTCCTGAAAAGGCATTTCCCCAGGTTTGGAACTTTTTTCAACAAGTCGGTGAGACAGTCATGTTTTATTATCCATTCTGAAGATTTGGACTTTAAGTTTATTGAAGATAAGCGTATATTTGTATTTACTGTTTTCGGCTGCCCTACGTGAGGAAAATAAAAGGCTTTTTTGTTTTATGCAAAACTCTCTGTGCGAGTTCTCTGTGAGATCCCCAACATCACACCCCATAAAAAATAGGTTTAATTAATGAATGTATTAGACAGGCTTTTTTTTTTTTTGCATGTAAATTTTTTATTTTCAAACAAAGTATAGTACAAGATGCATGTATTGTCAATCATACAAGACATAAAGTACAGAGTATTTGGAGAACAATAACAGAGCGATAAGGTTTTTTTGTGCGGGAAAGGTTCCCGTTCAGACCAGTTTGCAAATGTTCGTAAATGAAAGAACATCAGACAAAATAATAAAATAATACACCAACGCCTGGAGGGCAACAGCAATACAGGCAACAAAATAACAGTTGGTGCTGAAAATTAGAGTAACCATAGTAACCATTAATACACTCGGTCATGAAGTTGAGATAGACAAATGTTGGGTGCGAGAAAAGTCGTCTGGGGATGGTGATGCGTTTCAGCATTCCACGTAGGGGAATTAAGTCCAGCATTTGGCCGTGGTCGTGGTGCACTACGTCAAAGGACATCGAGGGCACCCAGTGAGTTAGTGAGCTTGGCAGTAAGAAACCACTTGGAATATTGGAAAATAAGCATTACGTCACGTAATTGATCTAGGCGTAGTTCAGTAGTTAGATCAGGTGTCAA